CCTAGATGTTCTAGATGGTGTTATTGCTGTACATTGTTGGTAGGTCACATGTTGTGCTGTATTTGCTTTGAAGGGATCTCATAATAGATCTTCAGTATTCCTTTCTTACAGTGTCCTTTTCTTTAGCTAGTATTTCACATAACTCTAATGGTTTATTAAGAATGTCTTCCTAGTCCTGGCTGGTGTAGCTCAGTGGATTGAGTGTGGGCTGCAAACCAAAGTGTCGCAGGTTCGATTCCCAGTCAGGGTACATGCCTGGGTTGCAGGCCATGACCCCCAGCAACTGCACATTGATGTCTCTCTCTCTCTCTTTCTCCCTCTCTTCCCTCTCTAAAAATAAATAAATAAATACAATCTTTAAAAAAAAGAATGTCTTCCTTGTTATCATATTGGTCTTCTAACATATCTTCATAGATATCCACAAGGCAGTTAGGTGGGGGAACTATGAGTTGGTTCTAAATCAAGTAATCAATTTAACAGATTGGGATATTTGCAAAGACCATAATGCTGAAAAATTCCTTTCAGATAGTTTCATGCAATTTCATTGTATGTTACTACTTTGATCATTTCTAGAATGTACTGGACTTCTCTCAATCTTGTAGCCAGTGGTATTAGAACTCACGAAACATCTGTGACTCCACACAGTTAAGAAGTTAATCTACATACTGTTTCTCATTACCTGAAAGTTTTTTAAGTATATTTTATTTATTATGCTATTACAGTTGTCTCATTTTTTCTCCCCTTTATTCCCCTCCACCCTGAACACCCCTCCCACCAGCATCCGACTCCCCTTAGTTCATGTCCACGGGTTGTATATATAAGTTCTTTGGCTTCTACATTTCCTACACTATTCTTCACCTCCCTCTGTCCATTTCATACTTATCATTTATGCTTATCCCCTATACCTTTTCCACCACTCTCCCCTATCCATCTCCCTGCTGATAACCTTCCATATGATCTCCATTTCTGTGATTCTGTTCTTGTTCTAGTTGTTTGCCCAGGATTTTTTTTCCCTTAGGTTCAGTTCTTGATAGTTGTGAGTTTGTTGTCATTTACTGACAACATATTTTTTATCTTCTTCTTTTTCTTAGATAAGTCCCTTTAACATTTCATATAATAAACACTTGGTGATGATGAACTGCTTTCACTTGACCTTACCTGGGAAGCACTTTATCTGCCCTTCCATTCTAAACTATAGCTTTACTAAATAATCTTGGATATAGGCCTTTGCTTTTCACGACTTGGAATACTTCCTGCCAGCCCCTTGTTGCCTGCAAGATTTCTTTTGAAAAACCAGCTGATAGTCTAATGGGAACTCCTTTGTAGGTAACTGTCTCCTTTTCTCTTGCTGCTTTTAAGATTCTCTCCTTCTCTTTAATCTTGGTAATTTAATTACGATGTGCTTTGGTGTGTGCTTCCTTGGGTTCAACTTCTTTGGGACTCTCTGAGCTTCCTGGAAGTCTATTTCTTTTGCTAGATTGGGGAAGTTCTCCTTCATTATTTTTTCAAATAATTTTTCCATTTCTTGATCTTCTTCTTCTCCTTCTGGCATTCCTGTGATTTGGATGTGGGAAAATTTAAGGCTGTCCTGGAGGTTCCTATGCCTCTCCTCATTTTTTTTTGAATTCTTGTTCTTAATTCTGTTCTGGATAAAAATTTATTTCTTCCTTCCACTCCAAATCATTTATTTGAGTCCCTGTTTCTTTGTCTTCACTGTTGGTTCCCTACATATTTTTCTTAATTTCACTTCACATAGTCTTCACTTTTTCCTCTATTTTGTGACTATACTCAACCATTTCTGTGAGCATCCTGACTACCAGTGTTTTAAACTGTACATCTTATAAGTGACTATCTCTTCATAGCTTAGTTTTCTCTTTTTTGAGTTTTGATCTGCTCTTTCATTTGGGACATATATCTTGTGCTGGGAACTTGTTATGTAGTAAGGGGCAGAGCCTTAGGTATTCACTAGGGCAGGGCAACCTACTTGGCCACATTGTGGTGCTGTATGTGGGGCAGTGATCTGAGAGGGAAAAATGCCACTTGCTGAGCTCTTGTCTGGTTTTCAGTTGCTTCCTCCAGTACCCACAAGCAAATTGGGGCCTTCTGGTGCTGATTCCCTAGTGTTGGGGTTGTGTATGTTCTAGGACCCTGTGGGTCTCTCCAACAAACTGTCCTGTGAGGCTGGGAGTTTCTTCCACCACCATGACCCCCATCAGTCTTTACAGCCAGAGGTTTTGAGGCTTTGTTTCCCCATGCTGGAACCCTGGGTTACTCTGTCTGTCTCATTCTCCTGTTGTTCCTCATGAATCATCTTCATGCAAATGTGGGACTGCCCACTCCACCAGCTGCAGCCTTGCCCACATGGTCCTCCAGCTGCTGCCTTGCCATGAGTGCTCTCCACTCTGGCTGCCGGTCTCTACCCCTCCTGTTGGTGTGAATGGATATTTCTTCCTTAACTCTTTGCTTGTGGGACTTCCATACAGTTCGATTTTCTGGCAGTTCTGGGTATTTTTTGTTTTTAAATATTTTTTTGTCCTTTTTGCAGTTGTGTGAGGAGGAAAAGTTTACCTATCTACATCTCCATCTTGGCCAGAAGTTCATTATCCAAAGTTTAAATTCCTGAATAACCCACTGTGGGTGTTGCAAGGCATGATAGTTCTTTTCACCTTGATTTAGAATATCAGCAATAAACTTAAGCTTCTGAGATGGATCATTTAATGATTTCACTAATACTTGCCTATGATGTCAAACTTAATAGTTTTGGGGTTGTTCTTCAATTATCACATTGTTGTAATTCATTTTCTCACTTGGGCCATTTTGAAGTGACTTTAATAAAACTCTCCAAAAGTGCTACATTGTATAATTGGAGGCATTTAACTAAAGAGAATCTTCAGTTAGTTTAAAATCTGGTTCATTATATGAAGGGCCCATGGACATCAACAAAAGTGTGGAGACTGACATCCATAGTAGAGCTCCTTGACCTTGGTTAAGGAGTAGTTACATTTATATAGTCCTAAAATTACATTTGGCCATTTAAAGGAAACTATGAGGCTAATGTGGCCCATGGTGAAAATGAGTTTGATACCCCTGCTGTAGAGGATATAAGTGGTGGGCAAGCTGAGTCTCAGAAACCTGTTGCCCATCGGAAAGCCACCACTTCAGCTTCCATCTCTTCTTGTTGCTACTGGAGTGTGAGGGGACATCACTGGGATAGTGGCAGCTTCTGGTGATGGACTTATTGCTCTACAGTAGCTTTCCTGACTCCCTTAGTGGCCACTATCTCCCCTTGGTCCACAGAGGTTCTGTCCCTCCTGTCTCAACTTTTTTACATCATTGAGATTATATATATATATATATATATATATATATATATATATATATATATCCTCCCTACTTTGTTCTTCTTTCTCAAAATTACTGAAGAGAGCATAGGCAGGAAATTTTCAGACATTCCACACAGCAATATTTTCATTGATATGTCCCCTAGAGCAAGGGACATAAGGGAAAGAATAAACAAATGGGACTGCATCAAATTAGAAAGCTGCACAGCTAAAGGAAAGATCAGCAAAGGGAAAAGGGAACCAACTGTATGAGAGAATATATTTGCCAATGATACCTTGGACAAGGGTTTGATAACCAAAATATATAAAGAACTCACAGGACTCCACACCAGGAAGAAAAACAATCTAATTAAAAAAATGGCCAAAGGACCTGAACAGACAGTTCTCCAAGGAGGACATACAGAAGGCCCAGAGACATATGAAAAAATGCTTAGCATCACTAGCCATCAGAGAGATGCCAGTTAAAACTACAATGAGACATCACTTCACACTGGTCAGAATGGCCATCACAACTAAATCAACAAACAGTAAGTGCTGGCAAGGTTGTGGAAAAAAGGGAACCCTGGTACATTGTTGGTGGGAATGCAGACTGGTGCAGCCACTCTAGAAAACAATATGGAATTTCCCCAAAAAACTAAAAATGGAGCTGCCTTTTGACACAGCAATTCCACTGTTGGGACTGTACCCTAAGAATCCTGAAACACTAACTCAAAGGAACCTATGCACCCCAATGTTCATAGCAGTACAATTTACAATAGCTAATTCCAGAAACAGCCTAAGTGCCCATCAGTAAATGAGTGGGTCAAAAAACTATGGTACTTTACACAATGAAATACTATACGGCAGAAAAAAAAGAAGGAACTCCTATGTTTTGTGATGGCATGGATGGAGTTGGAGAATATTATGTTAAGTGACATAAGCCAGTTGGTGAAAAACAAATGCCATATGACCTCACCTATAAGAGGAATTTAATGAACAAAATAAACTAACAAACAAAGTAGAACCACAGTCATGGAAATATGGAACAGAGTGACAGTGACCAAGGGTACAGGGGAGGGGTTTAGTAATGGAAAGAGGGGGAAGGAACTAGTTAAAAAACAATAATCTTTAGACACACATAATTTATGTTTTAAAAATAGGTACTAGTAGGTTTAAGATTTTAGTTGCATTTTGCAAAAGTAGTTTCTGTCAAAAGGGTACTTCCAATTATAGTATTTACCAAGAGCCCACAGAAAAACATTGGTTTTGCATCATGGAAAATTACAGCATCTAAAGATAGAATTTGGAAGTAGGTTGAAACATGAGTTATGTAGAAATATAAAGACAAACAAAATCCTGCACTATTAATTATTATAAATATGGTTCATAAGAATAGTCTATTTTGGATAAAAAAATAAAATATTACTTTTTTGTTTTCCTTATAAAGCTCTAATTTTTCTGAAATCAAAGATCAATTTTTGCAGGTCTTTTTAGTGCTCCAAAAACTTTAGTCAGTTTACTTATTTGAAAAACTCTGGCTTTAAATGAAATAAAAATTCATTTTACTACCTGACTTACTTGATATAATTGAATATAATGAACTATAGTAATGTAGAATGTATTAGTCTAGAACACTTTGGCATTCTGACCAGTAGGGTATTGTGTTTTTGTTTCCTGTAGGCGCACCAAGTGACCAGAGTAGTGGCACCTCGTCTCCTCTTTGTGACAGTGGCTTACACCTCAACTATCATCCCAACAATACCGTAAGACTGAAGCATGGTTCACATTAACAGGGATATTAACACAAATAAGCCCTCCAAAATATGTATACTTATTATTTGTAATATCTGCTGTTGCATTTGGTTTTTTAAAATCCTTGGCTGCTTCAGGATTTACATAGTGTGACAAGCCAGGAAAGAAAAAATAAGTAGGTCATTTATTTTTTAACGTCATTTTCTTCTTCTCTGAAGTCTATAAGCTATAGAAACTTTTAACTTCAAGAGGCCATGTGTAACATCTTAGAATCATTTTTAACATTGCATGTTATATGTAATTTCATGCTCTAAATAATTTGCCATGATTTTACCATTTTTCTATTTAAATTATTTAGCTAAAAGTGACTATTTCATTTCTCACTTTAAAGAATTTCTTAGCAACTTCTATGTATACCAAGGAATATATACAAAGTGGAAAAATAACCTATACATTATGTTAAATGTAATGAATGTTAAACTATATATGTATTTAATAATTGATAAAATTGGTATGTGTATTTTATATATATTTAATAAAATGTTATTTTTAAATTGTTCATTTATATTTTGGAGTAAACAGGTTTTATTTGAATTTTATAAATATTTTTGAAACCATGTATTTCACACTTTATAACATTCACACATTCTAAATACAAAATAATTCTCTCGGGTTATATGTAAGACTAACAATTTTCCACTATGCTCACAAACATAAAGTTTAGCAGAGAGAACTTTAAGAGGCTTCTATTTTTTCATTCCACATTTTGGGGTATATAAGACATATACCTACTTCTGACTTACATGTTTCATCTTCCATTTGGAATAATTGACTTAATTGCAACATTTTACTTCAAAATGTTCCTTTTGAACATTTTCAGGTCTGAATGGCCTTCCCTATACTTAACTGCACTAGTGTTGTTATGTAGTTGAGTGCCTGAGGTCCCCAAGCCTTTATCTCTCTATCATCTATCATCTATCTATCTTTATCCTGAAGACCCGTGGCAAGACCAAGCATTACTTCCACAAGTAACCTAACCATATCTGGGAATATTTAAGTTGACTTTATTTTTAATTTTTGTTGTCAGAGAAATATTTGTCACACAAGAGCTAATATTAAAATGCTAATCTTCAGAAGATGGCAAGATCTGAGTATCTTAAATGTGGTCTAATGAGGAAAATGACTTAAACATTGACTAATGAGAAGATGAATCTATACACTCGGTGTTCCCATCAGCTCCCTTCTGAATTCTCCAGTCTTACAATGTCCAGTCAAATCTTTACCTCTTACTTTAGTAATTACTTTGCTCACCTCCTCCCTCATAGTCTATATGCTCTGATACTTTTGATGCTCATCCAGTCCCTTTCCTGGGCTGGCATGTGTAGACTCAGTATCTGTAAGTGTTGGCTGCATCTAATTTACAGCTGATCCCTCTTGTAAGGAAAATATTTTGGGAATCAGGGGTCACCACCCCCTACTCTCATGTGGCTTCAGCCAGGAACTTGTGATAGGTGATAGAGGTATAAAGGCAGGACCCCTTACAGGGCCTTGGCAGATGACGCAGAGGTTCCCCCCAACACACTGGGCACATATCTATGGCCAGGTTGCTCCCTGCCTCATCCCCTGCTTCCCTTAGCCCTGACAGGTTTCTCCTGAGAACTTTCCCTTCACAAAATATTCACAGAAGAATCCCAGCCAGCTCTGCTGGTAAGATAGGAAGGAAGAGCTAGTTTGTCTAAGAATTTTTTGGAGAAGACTAGTAATATTTTTACACTATAACAATAAAAAGTAGAGAAGTCAGAGTTAAACATCTATGGGTAACAATCATTCTGACTTTTAACTCATTTCATTGGCATATGAAAAATAATCCATGACATTAATTTTGTGTGTTGTGCTTCTATTTAGGAAGATATAATTAAAGGGAAAAAATCATTGACTAATTCTATTACAAAATCGTTCCAAACAAATTCAGCTGTACATTTTTTTTAAAAGTTGTCAGAAAAATTTTTACAGGAAATAATGTCTTTCTATTTTCAAGAGGCACATTTTATTTTTAGCATAAGATTAAAATTATTTTGACACTGTCAACAATCTTTAAGTTTGAGGGTACTTACTATTTTAGATCATAATAATCAAGACAAATATAAATTCAAATAAAGTATATTAAAAATAAAGAGAAATAATCAGTGCATTTCAATTAAATTAATATTTGCCATGAGTTTATTCTGTGGAAACACTCATCTAGGTACTAGGGGGAGATGTTAATTTTGGTCCAACAAGTTTAAAATTCAGATATATGGATAAATCTAGATCTATAGACAAATGGAACAAATTAATTATAAGAAGAAAAAGAATAATAGGTATTAGCATTCTAATATCAGAGTAAATACCTACCATAGACTTTTATACAACTGACTTAATTTAATTCACCAAAATTGAGGGACTGTTGTTCACCAGGGGTCAGCCTTCAAGCCTGATGGGATCACACAGCCTTACACAGCCAGTGTCTCCAGTATTTCTCTTCCATATCCTGAATAAGCTTTGATGCAGATGTGAAGAATGGATGACATTTTTATTCAGAGATTTATAAAATTAGGAGAAACCAAGCATTTGTTTACCTCTAACCCATAACTAAATAAAATGAACAGTAGGAACTTGGAAGGAAGTGTGCATTTAAAAATAAATTTTCCACAGAATGTACACATGTTATATAAGGTGTTAAGAGAAATATTTAATTATCTGCTGTTCTAAATCCTCAATTCTATTTGGGGTCCATGTAACTTCAGTTTTAATTTCTATATCTTAATTATTCTCTGAAGTAAATTTGAAGTAAGTAAGCCCAATTCTGTTTTTTGAAACAGCATTGTAAGCATAAGGGAAAATAAAACCTTATAATATATTAATATTGCTCTACTATCTTACATAAAAAAAACAGTCTAGACCTCCTAAGGACTTGAGATTATCCATTTTAGGGTATAGAATCAATTGGTTTGCTACTCAAGTTAGAGAAAAGCAATTAACTTTATGGTCACCAGGAGACTTAAATTCAGAAAATCATCTAGCCAGTTTTTTAGAAGCATTTTTTCATAATTATATACTTAATGAATACTTTTTATGTCAAATCCTTAACAAAATCTAGACCAGCATTTTGCCATCAATACAATTCTATTTTGGTGAGATAAATATCCTTAAAGTTATTTTGTGGCAATACACCTTGAAATGTGTTAAGTTTGGGGGACAAAAGTATTTTAAATACTATGAAAATGTTACTTTTGCCATTAATATTATAAATAACATAGGAAACAATATTTTTGGCATTGGAGATTAAAGCTCTTGAAAAGTAGTTATAGGCCTTAAAAACCATAAAAAAATTTGTGTTTTTAGATTACCTTGTATACAATTAAAATAACTCTAAGATTGCTGTAACAGAAAAAGACTAGAAGGCAAATTTATATTACATTTTCATGATTAAAGTAAATAAAAATAAATAATCTTCAAAAGTCACTAGGTATTCTACTAAATAACAGATCTATAAAGTGAAATATATTAATCCTGATTAGTTCAATAGCTGAAGTTTGGCTTATTCATAAGTTTTACTTAAAGTGATATTTTACAACTTTGGTATCTAAAGGCACCAAACCAAGATTCTGCACTAAAGTTATATAAAAGATCATATGCATTTCCATGTCTACCAGTCTATAAAATCTATAAAATAAGATTTGTAAAACATTATACTTATCTATTGATGATTATCATTGTTGGTAATATTTCATTGCCTTTGTCTTTCATGTTCTTTTACATTTTCTATCCAATTTGTTTATAAATATAAAAAGTAAGGGATATTAATTTTGCTTTTCAAGAAAGATGAGCAGCCATATTTAAATAATTTGTCTATACTTATGTAGCAAAATTATAAAACAATTGAGATACAAATATGAATTATTTTCATAGTTTCACCTCTATAAATATTAAATGTTGTGATGTGATAGATGATTTGGCCCTTGAACTAGAAAAAAACGTAGGTATGTGCAAGTCCTGATGCTGTACTTGCTGTCTGGATGACTTGGATCAATTACTACTGTAGAACTGGAGTAATTTTAAGACAGCTTGGTGGGACCCACAACACTTAAGATACCTGTGGTTAGTTCTGTCCTAATCACAGCAGCCTAACCAGTTTATCCTAGTGTGTCACAAAGGATGATTGTTTCTTCAAGTGCCTTCACATGGAAATGTGGGGAAGCAATATTCTAATGATATCTAAAAATGCTTTCTGGGATTTCCGGCCAAGATGGAGACGTAGGTAGACACAATGTGCCTCCTCAAACAACCAAGATAGGGACAACAATACTTTAGAAACAGAATAACAAGCAGAACTAACAGAAAATTGAACTGTATGGAAGTCGGACAACCAATTAGTTAAAATAGACCCATTCATCCAGACTGGTAGGAGGGCCGGAGTCAGGCAGCTGGGAGGACGGGTTGAGTCACAAAGAGTGGTGGGACCAGGCTCATAAGGCATCCCGGGCATGCAAGACCACAGCAGGCAGACCATGGGCACACAGATGGCAATTGGCAGACCCCAAGTACAGGGTGGCAACCAGAAGACCCAGCAAGGTGGTGATAGTGAAGCAAGGCACTGTGCACAACCCAGGGTCCCAGTGCCAGGAAATAGAGCCTCAGGGCACTGTTTGAAAACCCCTATGGGCATTGAGGTGCTGGGAGACACTCCCAGACTCACAGGAGAGTTCCTTGGAGAGACTCACGGGGTCCTAGAATGTGCACAAGCCCAACCACATGGGAATTAGCACCAGAAAGGCCCAGTCTTGGGGGAAGCAGAGGAAGGGACTGAAGTCCCACAGAGAATGGAGCAAGCACCATTGTGCCTTCTAGGACCCTGCCCCCACATACAGCATCACAACCCAGCAACTGGGTTGTCGTGCCTTGGTGAACACCTAAGGCTCTGCCCCTCATACATAACTGGCACGTCAAGACAAAAAAAAAAGGTCCAAATGGAAGAACAGATCAAAACTCCACAGCAAATACAACTAAGTGACTAAGAGATAGCCAATCTATCAGATGCACAGTTCAAAGCACTGGTGATCAGGGTGCTCACAGAATTGGTTGAATTTGGTCACAAATTAGATGAACAAATGAAGACTATGCTAAGTGAAATGAAGGAAACTGCACAGGGAACCAATAGTGATGGGAAGAAAACTGGAACTCAAATCAATGGAGTGGACCAGAAGGAAGAAAGAAACAACCAAACAGAAAAGAATGAAGCAATAGGAACTCAAAAAAATGAGGAGAAGCTTAGGAACTTCCAGGACATCTTTCAACATTCCAGCATCTGAATTATAGGGGTACCAGAAGGAGAAGAGGAAGAGCAACAAGTGGAAAAGTTATTTGAACAAATAATAAAGGAGAACTTTTCCAATCTAGAAAAGGAAATAGATTTCCAGGAAGTCCAGGAAGCTCAGAGAGTCCCAAAGTTGGACCCAAGGAGGAACACACCAAGGCACATCATATTTACATTAGCCAAGGTAGAAATGAAGGAAGGAATCCTAGAAGCAGCAAAAGATAAGAAGACAGTAACCTACAAAGGAGTTCCCATCAGACTGTCAGCTGATTTCTCAAAGAGACCTTGCAAGCAAGAAGGGTCTGGAAAGAAGTATTCCAAGTCATGAAAGACAAGGACCTACATCCCAGATTGCTCTATCCAGCAGCAAAGCTTTCATTTAGAATGGAAGGGCAGATAAAGTGCTTTTCAGATAAGGTCAAGTTAAAGACATTCATCATCACCAAGCCCTTATTTTATGAAATGTTAAAGGGACTTATCTAAGAAAAGGAAGATAAAAAACATGTATAGTTAAATGACAGCAAACTCACAATTATGAATAGCCACACCTAAAACAAAAACAAAAACAAAATAAGCTAACAACTAGAACAAGAACAGAACCACAGAAATGGAGATTACATGGAGGGTTAGCAACAGGGGACTAGGAGTAGGAGAGCAGAGGAAAGTTACAGAGAATAAGTAGCATAGATGGGGAGGGCAAGAATAGTATGGGAAAGGTAGAAGCTGAAGAACTTATGACACATGGACATGAACTAAAGGGGGGTAATGTGGGTGCATAGGGTGTTCAGGGTGGAGGAGAGTGAAGGGGGAGAAATGGGACAACTGTAACAGCATAATCAGTAAAATATATTTTAAAAATAAAAATAAAAATAAATATACTTTTGAGTTTTTTATGTTTTGTTAGAGGAGTCTTGTGACAGCCTTATTTTTGGAAATAGGCACCATAAGGCACAGACAGTTCACATAACCTGCTCCTAGGTTAAAGGACTAATCAACTGGGAAATTGGTATTTTGAAGTCAGGTGGTCTGATTCTTATCTGGAGTCTGAGCCTTCATCCCCTTGTTGTGCTGTCACCTGAATGACTCCATGCTGATCATCTACAAAATCTGACATGAAGGCCAGGAAAAAGATTAATATGAAACCTATGTTCATGTTTTTGCCACCACCAGATAAGTATTAAAAGCAACTGTTTTGCATCGAAGGATTGGTGTCTTAAACTAAAGTGCTCACTGAAGCACTAGGAGGGGCCCCCACACTGTGGGGTCTTAGTTCACCCTTCTCAGTGTTCTAAACTGTTCTAAGGGTTTAGTAGTTTTGTATTTTCACTATTGGAGACAAATAACATAATAATTCCAAAGAACACTTGACCTTTAGTGATAACAGGACTTGTAATTTTTATTCCCTAAATAATTTTAAATAAATTAATATCTGAAAGAAAAGGTTAATAAGATACTAATAGTTTTAACATGATTAAAATATAACCGCTTTCTAATTCATTATTCAGAAATAGAATAGAGAAATCAGTATCAACAGTTCCCTGATAAAATTAAGCCTTGGCCTGTTACAACCCATGCCAACTTAAATATCAACATTATTCCATGTGCTAGTGTCATGAAGAAAACTTAATAATCAAGCTCATATAATGATAGCATAAATCAATGGCAAGTTTAAAGCTCAAATTTTATTCAAACCCATCTTTTCTATACATAAGAAAATAATCCAAACTTCTAATAAAACATAAAATGCATATAATTTGAAATCAGCAGTATCTGATTTAACAATAAAATAAAATATAAATGTTTTATAAACATGGAGTTAAAACAATGGACAGATATGTATTTGAGTAGTTTTTCAAATTTGTCTTATAAGATAATTCATTATATTTAGAGATATTTGCAAGTAACTGATAAATCAGGGGCATTCACAAGTGTGTTGTACTTACCGGATACTCAGAAAATACTGGCTAATTGAATTAAGTACAACTTGTTTTTGTTACTTTCAAGTTCATTGAAATTACAGTTTTGCCTCATCTGTCCCATTTGTGGATGAGTACAGTTCTGTCACACATTTTTTTTCTGTCTCCCATACCATTTTAAAATATTTGTCTACCATTCTTAATCTCAGGGACCCACTCTTTCACTTTCTTATAGAATTTAATTCATTAAGAAGTTAACAGCCCTGGCTGGTGTAGCTCAGTGGATCGAGCATGGGCCTGAAAAAAGAAAATAACAAATACAATTTTATTGTCAATAAATATAGATTTCTTCTTGTGGTAGTGTAGATATATATATATATAGAGAGAGAGAGATATATCTATATATAACAATTTAAAGATTTTATTTATTAATTTTTAGAGAGAGGGGAAGAGAAGGAGAAAGAGAAGGAGAGAAATAATGTGTGGTTGCCTTTTGTGTGCCCTGTACTGGGGACCTGGCCCGCTACCCGGGCATGTGCCCTGAGTGGGAATCGAACTGGTGACCCTTTGGTTCACTGCCCATGCTCAATCCACTGAGCTACACCAGCCAGTGTTGTAAATATATTTTGATTATTTAGGAGAAAATATATCCTCAAATGAAAAGAATTTGTGACATAGAAGCTTAAAACCCCCAAAGGAAAAAAAAACAACAATACTGACTGTTATTATTTTTTTCAGGACACATTATCATGTTCTTCATGGCCAACATCTCCAGGCTTGAGATGGGAAAAGCGATGGTGTGATCTCAGACTGATCCCTCTGCTTCATTGTCGGTTCTCTCAGTATGTTCCTGGGACAGATTTGAGTCGGTAAGTTACTGTTACAATTTTCTGATTTTCTAAGTTCTGATTTTCTGTTAATTGAAATACACCTTTTGTCAAACTCTTAACATAGTATGCCTTATGGTTCTTATTTTTAGCATATTCTTAATAGTAGGAAGAACTAGACAAAAAGTGTATAGTACAGTAAAACATTTATAAATCTAGTGGGGAAAAAAAATAACCCTGACTCTGATTCTAACTTTGTAATGGACTCAGTTTCTTTAATAGATATAGTTTTATTGGATTTTTGTATTGTGTTCTTTTCAATGTTTTATTTTTTAAGGAAACTATATAGTTTACTTAATAGCAAAAGGTTATTCTTATGTAGTTTATAATATTCTCAGATTATTATCTTTAAATAAGTGTAGGGACTCTCGTGATGTCTTCCTTTTCATTCTTGAAATTTGTTTTTTTCTTTTTAATCTTGGTAAGTTGGGGGTGTAAAATTTATTAATTTCTTTTTTCAGTGGACTAATTTGGGACTTTGTTGAAAGTCTTCATTATGTGTACATATTGTAAATCATGATTTTCTGCTGCTTACTTGATTGTTTCCATTCCTTAAACTTTTTGGCTTGATTTTTTGTCCTTATAGTTAGTTGAGATGGAAGTTCTTGGGGTCCAGAAAGTTTTCTGTAAAAATGGCACAGTAAATATTTTAGGCTTTGTGGGCTCTAACATCTCTATCCCAACTACTCATCTCTACCTTTTTATAATGAAAACTGTGACACACAGTATATAAATGAATGGGCATGTCTCTGTTCCAATGAAACTGTATTTATAAAAACAGATGACAGGCTAGATTTAGCCCACAAGTCACAGTTTTACCAAACCTTCATTTGATCATTAATTTTTTAGACTTTTTTCTAATATGTCTAATCAGAGCTGGACATTTCAAGGTTTACCCACAAAGGTAAAAAAAAATAACCATTTCTTAAAGGTGAATTTGCTGGAATCAAATTATTTTAGTTTTTCTTTGTTCGAGAATATCTTTATTTTAACTTCATTCCTAAGGATAGTTTCCCTGGCTATAGAATTTATGGTAGACAATTCTTTTCTTTCAGGGCCTGAAAATATGGTGTCAGTTCAGTTTCTCTCTTGACTCTGCTCTCTGCTGCCACCTGGGAGGGTAGACATGGAAGGCTGATTTCCCTTGTTTTGTTTCTCCTGGGTGATGGGAAAGGCTCAGCTCACCACAGAATGCTGTTGAGAACTGAGGGGATGAAGGAAAAGCTGAGGAAAACCAGCCTCACCTCCCATCACCTGATTCCACCTTGCTGGTGACTGGTGGGAGTGGTTGTTCATTTCCCAGTTCAGTCATGATGGTCAGAATTGGAGGAGGCAGAGTACTGACTAGCCACATCTCATACCACCTCCCTCAGTTTAATTGCTGCCAGGTGGGGATGGAGGTTCAACTGCCCATTAACCTCACTAACTACCCTGGGAAGGAATTGGCTGCTGCCTGCTTCTTTCAGGTGGGACATGGCAGATCAGCAACCTGCTTGTCCCTTGAACACCACCAGGTGGAAGAATTAGAGGATGGGTGGGAAACCAGTCCCCTGTTCACCTCTGCTATATAACATTGGAGGAAAGAGGACATTGTCTCTATTTATAGATGTCTGCCTAGATTAGGGAAGGTTACTGAAAAGATTTAATGTTTTTAGTTTACTTATCTCCCAGTCTTTTAACCATAGGCAATAAGCTTTCCTTGGAGCATTTTTTGGTTTTGTTGTTGGTGATTCTTCTTGGCAAGAGGCTTCTAGAGCATGTGTCTAGGATATATGAGAGACAATGAGGAAAACCAGGAGATTTACCACCTTGCCATTTTCAGGTCCTGAGGTCCCTGGCAGTCTGTTTTATCATTGTATCTTTCAGCAACAAACTATAGTTGTTGTTGGGTTATGTCCAATGTTCTTTAATTGTATTAGGTGACACCTGGAAAAATGGGCTACTCCTTCTTGGCCAGAATTGGAAGATCACAAGTATTGATATTCATGTTTTTATAAAGGGACTAAAGGGTAATGGAAAAAATACAATAAAAAAATAAAAATGTATTTACTGATATTTTCTAGTCTTTTATTACTTATTTGACTCATGGACTATTTTAAAGTATATTGTAAAATATTAAGGTATTTTAGAATTTCCTAATTATCTTTTTTTATCGTTGCTTTCTGGTATAAATTTATGCTGAATGATTTTAATCTTTTGATATTTTTGAGCCTTGGTTTTACCCAGTATATGAATAATTTTGGCAAATGTTTCATATACTCTTGAAATGTTTATTTAGTATAGTGTTCTACATATTTTTTTATTTTATGTTCTACATATTTCAAGAGGTCAGATTTGTTTACTAGGTATTCTGATCTTCTGTATCATTGATAATGTTTTTGTCTGTTTATTATATTAGATATTAAGAAAGGTTCATTCAAATCTCTCACTGATAGTAACTTTATGTCTTTTTTCTTTCAGTTGCATCAATACATGCTATATATACTTAATTTTATGTTATTGATACAGATTTGGGATTTGCAAAACTTCATAAAGTAGGAAGCTTTTATTATAAAATGTTCTGCATCTCTGGAAATGTTTGTGCTTTCAAGTCTTTTAACAATAGGATAATTACACCAGCTATGTGCTGGTTAATATTTACATTGTATACATTTTTATTCATCTTTCAACTCTTCTAAGTCTTTATCTATGAAATATATCTCTTCTGAGCTATATGTATTTGGATTCATCTTTGTCTTTGTTTTAAACAAAAGTAACAATCTTAGCTTTTTTATTTGGATCATTAAGTCTATTTACTTTTAATGTAATTACTGAAATGTTTGGGTTATCTACCTTTTTAATATTTGTGTTCCTTTTAAAACTTTATATTTTGTTTTTTATCATTAAATATTTTATCTTGAGTTAATTGTATATTTCTCATGCAGTTTAACAAACAAGAGATTCCATTTACCAATTACCTATTTTCTCAAATGGTAACATCTTTCAGAATTATACAATACCACATTTTAGAAATTGACATTGATAAAATTCACCACTCATTCAGCTTTCATGTATGATTGTGTTTAGTTCTATAGCATTTTATCACATGGGCATGTCCCTGTGTTCACCAACACCATCAGTGTGTAGAATAGTTTCTTCACCACTGGAATTCCCCTATTGCCCTGTAACCATGCCAGTGTCACTCTTCCCCCACCATGTCCCTAATCTCTTACAACCACTAATCCATTCTTCATCTCTATTATTTTGTCATTGAAAGAACATTTGTTAATAGAATCTTATATTATGTTTTAATTATTGCCTAAATATTACACTATATGTCTTAATTCCTTGGGCTTCAATGCAAAAATACAACAGAATGGGTGGCTTACAAAGATCAGGAATTTATTTCTCATAGTTCGGAATGCTTAAAGTCCAAGATCAAGGCATCATCATGGTTGTGTTCTCTGTTGAAGGCTCTTTTCCTAGTTCAGAGCTGGTGCCTTCTCTCTGTGTCCTCACTTGGTGCAAGGGGCTAGGAATCTCTCTGGAGCCCCTTTGATAAGGCACTAATCTCATTCATAAGGAATCCAGGCTTATAGCTTAAGCATCTATCAGACCTTACCTATTAATATAATTGCATTAAGCATTAAGATTTTACAGATGAATTGGTAATGGGGGAGGACACCAACATTCAGATCATAACACTAAATGTACATGATTTATTAGAATTCAATTTTTTTTTCAGAAAACACTAGAAACCTAGGACACCAATTCATTTATTTCATCCCTTTCTTTGGGTATATTTTTGAAATCACTTAAATTACATGTGTAGTTTAAACTCCTCAGATATTAGTTATATTATCTTTACCTTTGTATCTAAATATATATCCTAAATTTAATTCTTTTGTTTCCTATTATTTTTTTGGTTCTATTTTTTTATTTTTAAAATTGTGGTTCAATTATAGTTGTCTCACCATTTTCCCTGTTGCTCTGTCCTGCTTTTTCCATGTTAAGAAACTCTCTTAATATTTTTATTAATGCTAATTTTTAAAATGTATATATTTGTATTGTTTTTCTTTTTTACTTTTTTAGGATTTTATTTATTTACTTTTAGAGAGAGAGGGAGGGAGAGAGAGAAAGAGAGGGAGGCAACTATCAATGTATGGTTACCTCTCACATGCCCCCTTCTGGGGACCTAGACCATAGCTCAGGCATGTGCCCTGACTGGGAATCAAACCCATGACCCTTTGGTTCACAGGCTGGCACTTAATCCACTGAGCCACACAAGCCAGGGCTCTTTTTCTTTTTAAATATTTTATACAGATTCATGATGAAGAAGTGTTTACCTAAAACAATTTGAGAGAAAAAAGATATTGTTTTGGTGAGTCCAGATGACTAGTCACATTTTTATTTTTATGACAGCTTAACATATCAATAGCTTTTAGCAATTGAATTAATTACACAATAAATATTACAGTAATAAACAGTTATAAACATGGCACTAGAGTGGATAGCACAGCAATTCAGATTCAAGAACAAATGTATTGTTCACTCATTCACCCAATAAAAGTTGATTTAATGTCTGTAATTGGGAGCTGTTGTTTCATTCCTTTGGTAAAGATGCTCAAAGGCATTGGAAGCAGCAAAGATTAAAAAAAAAATAGAAGGATAAATAAATGCCCTGTGATGACAAATGTAGATGATTATTTAAATTACTTCAAAAACTAGGATATGATTTGTTGGTTAGTTTTGCCAAGGTCCATAATTTTAACTTCAGTAATGTAATACATCTCATATATAATTACAAAATTTTGTTGCCATCCTATACTATTGCACAGATGAATTAAAACATCACAATATTTCATCAGTAATGAGACAGTTATGTATGTTTTATGGTAATGGCCCTGGATTAATAAGTATATGCCTTATTTTAATTCTGAAGTTTCATAACATGCTGAACATTGCAGTGTCAGGGAATTAGAATGGGAAGTAGAGGTTTATGA